TTGCCGGTTCGGAGTTGGTTCAACTGGCGAGCCTTCTAAGAACCGGTTTGCCTTTCCACAGGCTAGAGAGACACCACAGAGCCAGGTCTTACGTCACTGAATTCGTCCCATCTTTCCCAGTAACACTAGCATGGCAGTGCCAAACACAACAGGCTTGTTCGAGATGCATCGGCGCCATGCAGACCGATCGGCACATGACACCAAAGCACCGCAAAAGCGATCCAAAAGCATAAAGAGAGTCATCTGCTTTCCAATCACTCCCGCGGCACACCGACCGGCCCGCGCAGCGCCGATGCAGCCCAAACAAGCCTAAACACACAATCAACAATGGTGGAAGTTGCATTGCTATTGATGTTCATGGCTTTGCGAATCTACATTGGCATCCAAACATGGCGAATTCAACGTGTTCGTGTTTAGCTGCTATTTCAAATATGGCGGTCAAAAGTTTCTGTTCATCTTGTTGGTCACGGTAACCCAGCCCCTGACGCAAGCGGTTCTTTCTTCTAGACCAGCAATGTTTTGGTGCTACTTACGAACCACTTTCCTGGTTCGAAGCTGGTGCTTTAGGTGTCGAAAGACAAAGAACCGACTTGAAACTAGGCTCTGGCTCCGAACCAGCACTCAAACTGCCTTGGTGGAAAAGGGGTATATGGTTCTTAAGTGGTTCTTTGGGGCTGTTAAGGTATTATATAGCATCACTGCCATTCAAAGAACCTGTTAAGCCCCTGTATAGTTATTTAAAGGTTCTCTAGCTCTCTCTTAGTCTCTTAGTTTAGTTGGGGAAAGGATTAAAAAAAGACATTAAAATACAGTGTATTTCCTGAAGATGATGTGGTTGTCAATCTTTTTGCCCCCTATAAGGAAATATTCCAGGGCCCTCAGAAAAGCATTAAAGTAATTCAAAACTTTTGCCAAGCTTTTGCCATTGTAGTAAATTCCCATTCATAGCAAACATATGAGAGTGGAGTCTAAAATCTAAGGAGGAGAATGGGGTTTGTCTTATGGTTCTACATAGCACCATTTGGCAATTTTTGAAAATGTTACCATTTTTGTGTATTATATTATATTTAACTTGATACTAAAACGGAAATAGAAATTATTTAACTGAAATAAAACTACTTAGATACTTAAAAAAACAATAACTAATACAAATGACTATTACAGTGGGTATACTGTAGAAAAGAATCACCCCCCTTTAAAATAATCACATTTTGTTGCTTTGCAGCCTGAAATGAAGATGGACACCGTTTTTGTTTTATCCAGCTCTATTTACCTACTTATAACATCCAAGTGAAAGATATAACACCATGTCAGAAATTTAAAAAAAAAAAATCACTTTTGGAAGTTGGAAAAAGGATCCCGCCCCCTCCTAAAAACGATTTGTAAACTCAATCAAGTGTAGCTAATCACCTTCTCAATGGCACGCAAAGCCATTTGATTTTCAACTGTGGTCATTTTGATGAGCTCGGCATGAAAAGAGCTTTCCTGGAGCATTTCAGTCCTTGGTAGTGCAACTGAAGAAAACAATCAACTATGGGTGTCAAGGCACTGTCCGAAGATCTCTGGGAGAAAGTTGTGGACAGGCACAAGTCAGGAGATGGATACAAAAAAAATTTCCAAGGCTTTATCAATGCCTAGAAGCACAGTGAAGTCTATTATTAAGAAGTGGAAGGTATTTGGTACAACACAGACCCTCCCTGGATCAG